GGTGAAGAGGAAGAAGAAGAGGAAGAAGAAGAAGAAGAAGAAGAAGAAGAAGAAGAAGAAGAAGAAGAAGAAGAAGCAGCCATGCCCACCCAGTCACATGGCCACACCCACCTAGCCACGTCCACAGAACCGGTTGTTAAAAAATTTGAATCCCACCCGTTTTCAAACACTATATAATCCTCGACTTGCAACTACAGCTGAGCCCAAAATGTTCTGTGGCTAAGCGAGACTGTTTGCCCCATTTTAACGGCCTTTCTTGCCACAGTTGTTAAGTGGATCGCTGCAGTTGTTAAGGTAGTAATGCGGTTGTTAAGGGAATCTGGCTGGCCAGGAAGTCGCAAAAAGGGGAGCTGATAGGATCCCGGGATGCTACAACAGTCATAAATACGAGCCAGTTGCCAAACGCCTGAATTTTAATCATGTGACCACGGGGAGGCTGCAACAGTCATAAGTGTGGGAAATGGTCATAAGTCACTTTTCTCAGTGCTGTCATAATTTCAGGCAGCCACTAAGCGAACAGCTGTATCAGCCAAATGGCTATTGTGCTGGTTTTGATGATCCCTTTGTGGCAGGCAAATTGGGGGTTGTGGCATTAAAACAGAGCTTAAATCCAGCCTTTGTCTGGGCCTGTTTTGTGGTCTGTTAAATGAACTCATTTTTTACTTAATTTCACAACCAGCTAGAACTACAATTGGTTTCAAACCAAATACAGTGGTGGGGTTCAAAAAAATGTACTCCTGGTTCTGTGGCGTAGCTTGGTGAGCGTGGTGTTGCTTGGTGCGCATGGCAGGGGAAAGGATATACTGCAAAATCCCCCTTCCCTCCCCTCCCCACTAACCTGCTTTCCAGCTCCGTTCTCCTGGGCAGGGCAACCAAAGAAGACCCGGCTGATCATCTGGGACTCAATGGGAGGCGGAGAAGAGATGGGGTTGGCGGGGCCAGTCACAGAGGCGGGATTGGCCGGTTCTCCGAACGACTCAAAACTTCCGCTACCCATTCCCCAGAACCGGTCAGAACCAGCTAAATACTGTTTCTCCTTTTAAAACTTGGCATCTTTAAATCTGCTTTTCAGAATTCCGGCTCTAGGGTGGCAGGAGGGACGAGGACAAACTGCTTGACCGATCTCGGGCGGTGGAATTCGAACTCGGCAGCGCCCCTTGGAAGCAGACTCACCGAAAGCCGCCACGCCACAAAGCCATTTTCCATTAAAACCCCATCCAGTTTGTACTGATGGTGCCGGCCTCTGTTTGCTGGGAACGGGGGAGGCGGGACAGCAGAGCCATAGGACATTTTGTGTGATCAGGTCACTGGTAGGTTTTGTAAATGGTTTAGTTCAAGAAGAGCAGGGCGACTGGTTTATCCTTTTCTTTTTTTAAATCTACCTTTTATTCAGCAGTGGGATTCTACTGGTTGTGCGTGCGTGTGCTCTTTTTTTTACTACCGGCTCAGCCAAACAGGTAGCAACTTTTGTTAGCAGTTCGGTTGAACCAGGCTGAACCGGTAGCATTTTACCACTATTTTTATTTTTTTGTCTTTTAGTCCAGGGGTCCCCAACCGCCGGTCCGCGGACCGGTACCGGGCCGCGGAACAAGCCTTACCGGGCCGCTGGTTGCTGGGCGCCGCCATCTTTTTTTGGTAAAAAAAGCAATTTTTCGTCAAAAAAGATGGCGGCGCCCAGCTGACGCCGGAACCGGGCCGCGGCGTCGAAAAGGTTGGGGATCCCTGTTTTAGTCCATATGGCTTATGAAAACACCCACCCACAAACACCTTTGTGAGTGTGTGTGTGTGTGGGGGGAACACTTAACAATTTAAAAACCCATACACCTGTTCGATGGGGGGGAAGGTTGACATGTGCTGTAGGCCTTTTTTAGAAAATTAAAATGTTTTTTTTTAAAAAAAAACTCTTTTAAAAAAAGAATAAATATTATTTTGAAAGCTGAGAAGCCGCAAGCATCTTCCAGTGCAGACAACTGGATCATAAAGTGTATTTTTAAAAAATCAGGGAGAAAACTGGGACATATATTTAATATTTAACCTTTTTTTTTTTGGACTCAAGAGTTAACTGATTTGTGGACTCCGCGCCCACGTTTTTCTGAAACCCAGAAAAACGCAGATAAACAGGTTTTGACATCCAACCAGGGCAGAGTGTTCCAAAGATGCTCTGACTGTTTGCAGTTGTGGATTGGCTGCTTCCTTGTTGCCACGGTGATGCTTACGCAGCATCCTTTCCTCTCTGGTCCAGAATCGGACGTCTTTGGCCGTGATGAAATGAAGATGCTGATTTTGTTCACTTCATTGTTATGGTGTCTCCGATACGTCAGCGCCGCCAGCCTCCCACTGGCTGTTGGTAAAGGATCAAAGTGTTTATGGCTTCCGTTCTAATGATTATTTCTGCCTTTTTGGAAGTTTTGCAACTCATTTTCCAGAAGAGGGAGAACGTGGTGGTGCTTTTGGCCATTGGCAATCCTTTTGTAGGCGAGCTTTTACTTCTGTTAGGTCCCAGTGCCTGCTAGAACGCTGTAAGGCTGATTTCCCATGAATAACAGGGACCTTGAAGGTCTTCTAGTCCAACCCCCTGCTCAAGCAGGAGACCCCAAATCCATTTCAGACAAATGACTGTCCTAGTCTCTTCTTTAAAAGAATGGTGGAACACCCACAATTTTTGAAGGCAAGACTTTCTCCTTAGTTCGAAGCTGTTTGGTTTCCATCCATTGCTTCTTGTTCTGCCTTTGGCAGCCCCTCAAATGTTGGACTATATTATAACGTCACCCCTAGTCCTTTCTCCCTCCATTAAACTAGACCGAGCCAATTCCTACAACCGTTCTCGATACGGGAAAAAAAAAAGGAAAGAGGGAAAAATGTGTGGGCTGCAAGTAAATACGTACTGTATACAATGACAATAAAGAATTCAATTCAAGTATTCAATTAAATGAAAGAACAACAGACCTCCACCTTCTCAAAGCAACATTCAGTGGAATGCTCGTTTCCTTGCATAAGCTGCATTTGCAAGTACTTAATTAATTCTCCTTGAATTAATCCATGTTTGATGGTTGATCAAGATGCATACATCTTCAAACAGCTTGTAATGAAAACAAGCACTGTGCTCATCGAGGTAGAAAATTATATTTAACCTCTGCTTAATGTGCCCAAGGCTCATTCCTTGGATGCCTGATCTTCTCAAATGCCTTCACTTTAAATAAATATTTGCATTTTGCTTTAAAGGCACATCCTGTTTATCGCTAATGCTGCTTCAGGCGGCCGTTCCCCTCCCTTTTCATGTACAGTATAAGCTTCACCCGTTTTACTCTCACAACTGCCCTTTAAAGTAGATCAGTGGTCACCAGTGAGAAAATTTTGGTGGCCCGCAGAGAAATGGCACCCCCAAAGCAATTAATCCAGGCTGTGTGGGAACACAAGGCGTGCATTGCTTGCATTGCGAACAACATGAGGTAGTGAGGGGAAGGGCGGAGGAGGGGAAACTTGCCCCACAGGCCCCATGTGCCTCGCATGGCCACTGGGCTGGTTCTTTCTTTCTTCTGCTTTTGGCTGCATGCAAGGAAAGCAGCAAAAGTCTTTCTCTCCCCCAAACTCCGCCAGAAATGAGTCTATGGACCCTGCAAGGCCTCCTGCTCCAAGAGGCTGCACCGGCAAAGACTCATTTCTGGCGGAGTTTGGGGGAGAAAAAGAAAGACTTCTGCTGCTTCCCTTGCATGAAGCCAAAAGCCTCTCTCTCTCTCTCTCCCTCTCTCTCCCCTGAGATCTTGCTGCCTCCTCAAAACAAGATGGCCCTGGGTCTGCCATCTTGTTTTGGAAAAAGTGCCCCCATTTCTCACTGACCGGCAGTTGCTAGACTCGGCAATATTTTCTCTCGCTGCTTGCAGGGGACCCCAACATCCACTGGAACAACTGGCAGCCCTGGGTGTGTATGTGCGAGCTTCACAAGCAAGCCCGCATACGGCACTTCGTAGTCTGGGGCGCCAACGTCTCGCTTGACCTGAAGACCTCGGAGTTTTGGCAAGAGAAGCCCTGCTCCTTGGAGGACTGCCGCGGTTGCGGGACGGAAGATTGTCCGGGCAGCCTGGCTCGATCCGGCTTCCTTTCTTGGTTTCAGGGCGTCTCTTCCCCCAGACCCCACGAAGTCAGGATCCCTCTTCCGCCCCACCTGGATTTCCCATCCTACGACAGCCTCCCCGTCATGGACGACAAAGATGGGGAGTAGGATGACTTGGGAGGCCACCAAGCAGACTTTGACCATCACACCGCAGCATCCATTTCCCGCTTGCTTGCCTTCCTCCAAGGGGGCCTGGACTCCAACACCTATGATCCTTTGCCATCTGCTGCAGGGCAGGCAAGGCCGTGATAGACGCAGCCCCTCCCCCGAATGAGAAATGAGTTGTGTTTATTCTATAAGGCAGGAGAGCTGGACACCAATAAAGTTTGAAACACTCCTGCTTACGATTAATTCTTAACTTTCCTTGGCTTTTATCTTCGGCTTCTAGGTCAGCCCTAAAAATCCAGGAAAAAAACTAGGCTGTTTCTATGTTTGGCTTTACTCAAGATACGTCCTCCAGTGAATAAACTTTGGAAGACCATAGCTGCTCCTAAAACGACTAGTTGTTTTGAGCAAACTGCAGCATTTAACCTCCCTCTCCTTGGCTCACATCTGAAGCAGCCATTTGAGAGTTTGTTTGCCAACTATAAAGAAATGTTTGCTTTTTCCTTCGGAATTGCCTAGCGATGTTTCGTTATCGGGCACGGTAAAAAAAAAAAAAAACCGGAGTGACTGATTAAATTTAATCTCCATTTGGTTTTAAGGAAAACAAACACATCCACTCAACCCATGTGAGCAAGGGGTGGGACTTGCTTGGGAGAGTTTAAAACAAAGCAATTACTCTGTTGCTAGGACAAAGCACTTTTATAAAAGGAGCTGTCAAATCCACAGACGTGCAGTTAAAGGCAAGGCAGCTCCTCTGTATTGCCGAGAGAGTGCCGCGTTTCTCCCTCTGCCGAATTCTGCAGAAAAAAATTCCCATGGACGATTTGCAACTTGTGAATGAAGCTGGTAAAGCGATGGACCGATCTGAGATTTCTGGAGAGACATCCGGAATGGAGGACGGTCCAAGAACGGAGGGCTGCTCCGTTCAAGACAGAAGGCCCTGCGATAAAACGGGGGATCTCGAACTCGGAAATCCAGAAAAGGAGACTTCAGCATCTTTGCATCCTGTGGCTGTGACAGTGTTGCCCCCGGCGCCTCTCCAGTTCCGACTCTCCGTCAGTGACATGACCTGCCTCATCTGTTTCCACCCATTCAGCCTCGACCGGCTGCCCAAACTCCTGGCTTGCCAGCATGCCTTCTGCACGGCGTGCCTAAAGATGATCTTGCGGCAAGACGATCGCACCTGGATCATCAGCTGTCCCTTATGCCGAAAATCCACGGTGGTGTTCGGGGGTCTCATCTGTAGCCTCCCGAACCTACAGCAGGTCGTGGAGCAGTTGGGACCCCCGGATCCAGATGCAGGGATCGCTGGCACTCCGGGCACTGCCGGGGTGCAGCATCCTTCCCCTGAAATGCAATCTTGGGACTCGGGCGAGATCAACGAGGCCGCTCTCAAGAGACTCTTCCTACTGCTTCTGCTGGTTTCTATGCTGATTGTCTTCGTCCTCCCGTTCACCAACGCCGGATTGCTGACGTGGTTCCTCAGCTTCATGGTGGTTTTGGGCGGCATAGTCTGCGCTGTGCTTTGCTGGGACTCCAGTTGGAGCTGCCCAAGTTTTCCGTTGCCCCTCTGGACAAAGAAGGTCAATCAAGGGGCCTGAGAATGACCTTCTTTGGCTTCTTCTAGGAAGGGCTCACGAGCCTCTTGGGAGACTTTGGTGCTCGAGCACAGGCAAGACCAAAGCGGGTGGCGTCGGGCCTGGGTGGGTTCAGATGTGGCATACGCACCGGGAAATCTTGACAGAGAATCCATAGCTGGTGGTAGCATCTGACTTCACGTCACGTTGGTTCGAAAATTGCAAACACAATCCTGATGCTTCCGTGAATAATAGGGTTTTATTTTGGAGGGGGCCTGAATACATCTTCATTCGATTTTATTCCACCACAATAAACCAATGGTGGCTTCTGCCTTTTTTTTTTTTTATGAAAAAGTCCAAGATTAATGAATAACCTGTAGATGGAAACTCCACCGTGAGATGCAGTACCTCCAAAGAGCTGGCTAACAACTGTGACAATTGTAGTCCCTGTGCTTAAAAGTGGCCCTTTAAGGAGATAAAAATGTCAGTTTATTGGGGATTTAATAGTAGTCTTGGTTTTCATTTCTGAGGTTTCCTTCAAGGGCTGCACAACCATAAACATTTAAAACAGAAAGCTTTCCTTTTAATTCCATTGTTAAACACATAATTATGCTGTTTACAAAGGTTTTTTAAAAATCAGTGCACACATTGTTGGTAAACAAGGAGTTTTAAATCTATTTAGGTCAGTGTGGCTTCCACACCAGTTGACTTAAATTTCTTCTGGGAACATTTGATGGATTCCTTCTTATATATAGTTTGTGGGGAGGAGGTTCCAATTGTTTTGAGAAGCCAAAATTCACTTCAGCAAGTGGGAACAAGCGCACTGAAGCAGCCCTGAAGTGTGAGGCTGTTGGGACATTCGGTATTGTTGAAATGTTTTATGTCTATGCTGTGAAGATTCATATAAAGAGAATTTTCCCTTGTTGGCTTTTCGCTTTATTCTACCTGCGCATCCAAAGGCTAGAAAATTTGCACTCACGTTGTATTAATTGCATTTTACATTGTATTAAATTGCATTTACAGCTTAAGCACAGTTCGGTTGGAAGTTTTCTCCGCTTTGTGATAGAAAAACTTACATTTGCAATGAATTGCAATTATTTTTTATAAAGAGAGATGCAAGTCTGCAAAAGATCGACAACTTGGGTTTTTAATCGCAGCCTGATTGCTAGTCAGCTATTAATTTCCTTGACACGAACAATTTCAGTTGCCAAAACCGCAAATCCCGTATTTTTTTTTTTAAACCTTCCCGGTCTGCTGCTTAGCCAAAAACTTAAAATTTGCAGAGGTTTGCTTGCAAAGGAGAGCATCCAAAAGCCTCAGAAGGAGCCCCCGATCGACGACTTTTATTGCAATTCGGATTTAAAGTCCTTGAATTTTAAAATCCCCTCCTTTTTGCTTCCCTCCGCTGATTAAATTGCCCTTTGTTTTTTTTCCAACGCCACTTACCGCTTCCTGTTTAAGTCGCTGCGAAAGTTGCGTGGCCCTCCCCCTTTCGGGCGTGCCTTACGCCTTACCTGTGCGTAACCCATTCCGGGAATCGCTCTTTCGCGGAGCCGCCGGCGTAGGGTGGGCCTAGGCGGCCTTTCGGAGCCTCGGGCTGGAGTGAGAGGCCAGTCCGTTTGAGGCGGCGGGGAATCTGGGGAGGCTCCGCGGCCGGACGCGGCCTTTCTCCGGCTCCAGGACGGGCTAGGTGGGTCTTGGGGACGGGGGGGCGTGGATTTATTTATAAATGGAAGATAAGGGGAGGGGGCTTTGGGGCAAGGGGGGGGGATAGCTCAGAAGGGTAGAAATAGCCTAGGAGTGAAACCAATATATTACAGGGGAGCAGGGGAAGCCCTCACCCCGTTTTAAAAGGGGGTTTCAATCCCCCTCCCCACTTTGGGGTCCCAAAGGGGTCTCCCCTGGCTTGGGGGGGGGGGCTCCCCAGAGATTGCCCCAGTAAAGGGGACCCTCCCAAGCCCCAGATATTGGGGGGAGCGCAACCTGCACCCCAGGCAGTGATGTCTCTGCAGAAAATCCTGGGACCCCCACTCCCCCAATAAATTGCTCAGAATAATAAATGCCGAGTAATTAAAATCACCCAGATCGTAATGAACAATAATCACAAATGTCCAAAAAGGGGTGGTGGTGGAGAAAACCATTTACTGACATCCGGACATTTTTATCACGCGGCTATTCAGAGCAAGGTTTAAAATCCCAAATCAGAAAGACCTTGATGGCAAACGGGTTTTTGGCACAATCCGGTGCAAATGTTAATATTAAGTTATGATATCCTGATTTGCAAAGAGTGCTGGTAAGTAACGATCCATAGATCAGGACATAGCCAGGTCAAGTTACTAGTCCTCAAGATCAATCAAGTTCAGAAACATGATTGGCAGACATCATTTCTGGTCCCAAGGTTGTAGAAGACTTCCAAGACTGAAATGGAGAGAGAGGGGGGGAAAGGGATTTTTGTGAGTTAGGTAAGAAGGTCATTAGTCTGTGTCCAGAACCAGGGAGTGGATAATACAAGAGGCTTTCACAGAAACACAATCTGAATATCATCTAAAGAGAGAGCACACCTTGCCAAGAACTCAAACCATTCCCATCCACAGAAAGGTGCGGTCCTGCAAAGCCAGGAGGAAGTGAGAAAATAACCAGGTGGATGTTATCAGTTTTTTTTACCTGTCTTGCATTGGACAAAATGCACAAAAAAATTAACCTCCAAGCGACCTGGTCTAAAAGCAGAAACAAGTTGGAAACGTCAGCTGTGAGCTTGTCACGAGTTGATTTGAATTTCCATGCTTGCAAGAAATGAACAACTGCTTGCTTTGAGGATACGACTTCCCGCCTGTGGAAAGTTGTTTTCAGAACAAATCAAACTGCTTTCTCATGACCAGGAGTCATGAGTCATGCTTTCTCGTGTCCTGGGATCCTACTGGATCTATTAAAAGCAGTTTTTTATGTTCCTGATCCCTTTGTGAGGACGCCAAACGCTATCGGAAACATTTCCGGCTTCTTGGATTGAGGTCACACGAAAGAGAAGGCGGGCTGAAGGGTGGGGTGAAGCGAAGTGGAGCAGATCGTGGTCCTGAAAGTCCAGTCAGAAGACTTGGTGACACAAAGTTCATTCTCTCCTCGAGTAATTGAGATTTTTACCGTTTTATTATTATGTCTGTTGATAGCTGCTTCGAGGGTTATTATCTATACCGGCTGGTTAGCAACACCTCTGATCAGGAAAGCGCCTTTCCCCCCGTAAACCAGATTATGACCTGTGGTAATTCCAACACAGAGGACAAAAGTTTCCATTTTGTGATGAATTGGCAGTGTGCAAAAGGAAGGAATTCCCTTATCACCTTTCTCCTTACTGAGAGGGGGAGATAGAGTAGGCTGGGCTGGGTGTGCTCTTTTGTAGATAGCTGTGCCTGGAAGACTTTGGTGAGGACCTCCTGTTGCTTACCTGGATTTGGACCAAGCTGGCTGTGATGTTGGCTGCATTCACCCCAAAGGTTTCACCGGCTCAATGAAAAACTCATTCGGTTCACTTTAATGGTCCTTGTTTGCTGTTAATAATCTGCTTCCTTCACTCTCTGAGGAGTTAATTTGTTCAGCAAACAGAAACAAAATCAAGTGATGTCTAGGGACTGCCATGGGAAGGCAGTGGAGCCTTCGGGTGCAGAGGCAGTCTATCCTGGGGTTTCTGCAGCTGTGAGGAGGGCAATGTTTCTTGCGTTGCTTCTTCAGTGCAGTTTTTCCAGAAGTCCCTTGACCTGCCCTCGAAAGTTGGAGCCCAAATCGCTGCAAGAAAAGCTTGGGAGCCTTCCTAGGAAGAAGCAGTCTTATCTCTAGGAAGGAGGGATGCCTTTGTGGCCCGCTTGCTGACCCACCTGCTTTGAATAAAGGATGCTGAGGGATTCTTCTTGCATTCTTATTTTGGTGTTTTTGTGTCCCTTGGCAGGAACAGACGGACATGTCTGCTGATCCCCGGCCAGGCTGGAGGCCCTGGAGAAGCCGGCCGAAGGAGGAAGAAGAAGACACAGGGCCAAGGACGGGTCCAGGCGCGCAGTTGGGAGAGCCGGGGAAATATGCCTACGCAGCTCTCTGTGCGGTTTCCTTGGCCTCGTTGTTTCCAGACCAGGAAGAAAGGTGAGCGGCCTCAGGGGTGGGTGTTGAGATAATTCCCCGTTAGGAGAATGAGCGCACACTGGGAGATGTAGTGAGAGTGGTGAGGAATATCACACAACCAGCACACAGATACACTGTATAGTAAAATGTAGGTTTTCCAGTAAAACGGTTAAGCAAAGTCCAAACACAGTCCAAGTCATTCACGGTTATAGCAGTCAGTTTTCAGTCCAGGGATAATCCAATAACAAAGTCCAGTATCATAAACAGTTCAGTAACAGACTTACATCAAATCCAAGACTAACAATGATCAGCGACAGTCAATAGAGAAATGCAGGTACATACTCTCAGCAACAGGGCAGCTAGCAACTAGCAACTACCAACAACAGAACAGAACAACCCAGGTTTCTGGCTCCGTCTTATGGCCGTTTGAGGAACCCAATTACAATTTTAGCATTCCCTTAAAGAAACAGCATTAAAATGTCTATCCTGGTTTATATATTTTCCAACCCAACTGTTAGGTGACTTACATCCCTAACAGTGGGCTTCAAAATTTTTTAGCAACCGGTTCTCTGCCTGGTTGCTGGGTGGGCGTGGCCAGGGTGGGTGTGGCCTAGCCGGCCTCCTGCACGATGGCAGGGCGGGTGTTTTCGCCCTCCCCGGGCTCCGGAGGCTTTTCTCAAGCTTCTGGGAGGGCGAAAACAGCCTCCGCAGGCTCTGGAGGCCCTCTGGAGTCCAGAAATGGGCCCGTTTCCAGCCTCCGGAGCCTCGGGGTGGCCTGTTGTTCACCCTCCCCGACTCCAGAGCCTGGGGGGGCCCTCTGGAGTCCAGAAGTGGGCCTATTTCCAGCCTTCCTCCACCCTGAGCTTCTGTGCAGGCCCTGCACTTTTACCTGGGATCCGAAACGGGCTGCGTGGAGACTCCTGGGAGGGGAGGGGTGGTTGGGCCATCCAGGGTTGGGATTTGCCAGTTCACCGAACCACCCATAAAATTAGCTACTGGTTAGCTAAGGGTTTGCCCAAACCGGGGCAAACCGGTGGTAGTCCACTCCCAAGCGTCTCCTTGCTGGTTTTCCTCCCAGCTCTTGAGAAAGCATCACAACAAAAAAATTCAAGGGATGTTTTGTTTGGCCTCTGCTTGGGATTATTGATTTTTTTTTTTCCCTTTGTCGGTGACAAAAGGAAAGAGCCTGGTTTTTGTATAGAAAAAAAAAGAGTTTGGCCTCTACGAAAGTGGGAAAGGCCAGACCTGGCTTAGCATTTTGCAGAAGAAGGCGATCGACGGACGGTTAAGGCTAAACAATGTTAACATGCCATTGTTTACGAGGCCAGGCTCCCTTTATTTTCCTGTGAGGAAAATTTTATATGTACATTAAAGCAGGATAAGGATAGGTTGGATTGGCTGACTCATCATTTATACGCCTCTCCGGGTAAATCCTCACTTTACAACCACAGTTCTGTTGCTAGGCTAAACAGTTGTTAAGTACCCCGTATCCCCAAAAATACGACCTACCCCGAAAGTAAATCCTACCTTGATTTTTTATATGTGCACCCAATATAAGCCCTAATTAAGATCCCTCCCACTCCAGAGTGCACCGGTAAACATTACTCTAGGGTGGGGATAGGTGTGTGTGGAGCCACCCTACTACTTATCTTTAGACAATTGTATCCAGGCCTCGCACATCCCGACACGTGCCTTGCTGGCTCATTTCTTCTGCGGACGGCAAGGCTTTCCTGAAGGCCTCTGTAGCTGGTAACAAAGCTCAGGATCGATCCAGAGCTCTCTTATCGGCTGCAGAGGCCTTCAGGGGAGCCTTGCCGGCTGCAGAAGAAGAAGTTCCTGAAGGCCTCTGACAGCGAAAAGGAGGCCAGAAATGACGTGCGCAAGTGAGGTTAGTCAGTAGATGACATGCCCCGAAAATAAGACCTGGTGCCTGTTTTTGGTGGCCAAAAAATATAAGGCAGGGTCTTATTTGGTGGGAAAACATGGTAAGTTTTGCCCCATTTTATGACTTTCCTTGCCACCGTGGTTAAGTGAATCTCTGCCGTTCTTAAATTAGTAACACAGTTGTTTAAGTGGCTCTGGCTCTGATTTTGCCTGTCGGAAGGAGATCACACATGACCTTGGGACACAGCAACGGTCATAAATGTGAGCCAGTTGTCAAATTTTAATCGCGGGACCACGGGGAATGCTGCAGTGGTTGCAAGTGTAAAAAAAAAAAAACCCGGCCATAAGTCGCTTTTTTTTTCAGTGCCGTCGTAATTTTGAACAGTCACTGTGTCAACTCAAAAGATACTCCTTTGGTCTTTGGTCAGCAGAAAGGGAGTGGGTGGGAAACAGGGCATTCCTCAAGTGCCTAGATAATCGCCTTGGCAGCCCAAAGTTGTCGGAGCACCGGAATATTACTGGCGAGTATGATTGGTGACTCTTGTCTATGGATGTGTCCCATTGGAGAATATACATCCAGGGGGTGGGTGGGAGGAAGACCAGGGTCAAGGGGGCAAGGAATGATGTATTTTAATATCGGCTGCATCCAGCTAACACCAACATGGCCACTTCTCAGTGAACTGTTACAAGCGAAGGAGTACCTGAGTAGCGTTTTTGTTCCCCAAAGCAACGCTACCCCTCCCCGACGGATGAGCCAGTGTGAGCGTTGGCCGCGGGTTGCAAATGCCACGCCGTGATCTCGTTTCTCTTGGCCTTCGCCCCCACAGCGCCTACAGGACGGGAGTGGTGGAGAACCTGGTCAGGTGGCTGGAGCTGTCGGACACCGTGATGCCATCCATGCTGGCCTTTGCCGGAGGTCTGGGGGCTGAAGGGACGGAGACCTTCGCTCGGATTCTTCTGAGCGAGCCGCTCCTGGCGGATCAGCCCGGCTCCGTTATGCGGGTGAGTTGAAAGTCTTTTGCTGTTTTGTCGTAAGCCAGGGGTGTGTCAAACTCAGTTTCATTGAGGGCCACATCAGGGTTGTGTTTGACCTCGGAGGGCTGGGGGCGTGGCCATGGTGGGCGTGGCATGGGACTTAGGTCGGGGGCACCTGTTGGGGGCACCACAGGTCCTAAGGCAGGATTTCCCTGAGACCCTCCCTCACTCTCATTATAATCTATCTCCCTCCTTCCCTTCCTACCTTTCCTTCTTTTTCCTTCCCTCTCCCTTCTCCTTCCTTCTTCCTCCCCCTCTTTCCTTCTTTTTCCTTCCCTCTTCCTTCTCCTTCCTTCTTCCTTCCCCTCTTTCCTTCTTTTTCCTTCCCTCTTCCTTCTTCCTTCCCCTCTTCCCTTCTTTTCCCTCCCTTGCTCTCTTCCCCTCTTCCCTCCTTCCTTCTTCGTCTTGCCTCTTTCCCTTTCTTTCCCGCCCCTTCTTGCACGCTCAGATGCCGAAGGGGAAACATTTCTCCTTTTGTTTTGTTCTGATAGCCACCTGCCAGCGACAACGGAGTGCCCCCGTTTTCAGCCACAACAGCTTCCAGCAGCCCCCCCCCTCCCTCAGCTCCATTTTCTCTGTCAGGGGGCCACAGGAGCCATCGCAGTCAAAAGCGGGGCACCGGGGTGGGGGGGGAGCTGTGCAAGACCCCCCCCATGCTCCATTTTTGCTGGCAGGCCAGAGTCCTTTGCTGTTTCCGGCCTCACCCCCCATGGGCCGGATCTAAGCACCCCAAGGGATGGATCTTGAGTTTGACACACATACACACACACACCCGTCCTAAGCTTACCGGTGGGTGTGGTTGATCCTTTCTGAATTAAGGAGGACTTTGAAAGACACTGCAGGAGGCGATACCCTTTTCTTCCTTTTGCTCCCCAAAAATGCAGCACCTCTGGGCATGGAGGTGCCGCGCACAAACCTCCCCGTTTCCCTTCTCTTTTCCATGAGGGGAGGAGGCTGCCTTCTCGCCAACCGACCCACGTTCAGACTTTCTGGGGAATGCCCTTGTTTCCTTTTTAAAACAAAAACAAAAAAACCCTCACCGCTTCTCCCACGTCTTTCTCTTTTAGGACCTGGTCTCCTTTTCTCTCAAGGATGGTAAGTGATGTTGAGGGCCCGTTTTTTTCTTTTCTTCCGTTGTTTTTATGAGCGTTTAACCAGGGAGGCAAAGCAAAAAGAGCTCATGTAGGGTAAATTTGGGGGGGAAACCAGACAATCGACGAGAGATTTTAGGAAATTTTCTCCTTCCTCTGTCACAAGTCGGCGAGGACTAGCTTCTTTAAAAAAAAAGTTTTATTGATTGTCTATTGCTTATATTTTGTTAGTGCTTAATAAACTTTGTGTTGTCTGGGTTATTT